CGTTATGGGTCGCTAGGACCCGCCCCTGCTTCGCACGGGTGCAATGTATTAAACATATAAACCTTCCCCTTAATCACTCTATCTAATAAAAAAGCCGCATCAAGATCCGTTGCGTAGTTTTATAGATCTAAGCACACATATGGACACACAGACGGCGGTACGACTTTGTTTTATACTATGTAATGATGGGAAAGAACTCACCACCATTTTGGACGAATCGGCCATAATGCGACCTCTACACAATAAAATTTTAACTGTGGTAGGGCTACGCAACAGCTTTCACTGTTGCACCTGGTTGCGCCCAGGGGGGGTGGACCTGCCCGAGTACCACGACCTCACAGAAAACCGGCGTATAGTGGAAGTGTTACATTTCTGCGTTTCGTCTGCTGAGTGAGGTTACCGGAACCCACTTTATTAAACGGTGGCAACGCACCTGCAACCGTACGGGTGTTGCAAATGTCATCAGATGAACCGAAAGCTTGCTTTCCGCTGCAATAACCAGATCACATTGTGGTCTTAACCCAAAAGTACGCAAGATGCGAAACAGTGACTTCCGCGCACAAGTTCCTCGAACAGAAAAACATTGAGATTATAACCTTGCATGGCCTCCACGTAAACTTTTTTAAATTAGCTCCGTGAATAGCAGATTATTACGTGAAAATTTTGCATGTGTGCAAGCGGTTCACTTGATGTAAAGTGATTCCGCCGCCCATATCCGCCCGCAACACCGGAGTAGTAAATGCGTTATCAGCCTTTTAAAAAGTTTGCCCTTCACCTCACTCACCAACCGAAATGCGAAAGTTTGACACTTCCACTTCACGCCGGTCTTCTGTGAGGCCGAGGTTGCCCATTCCTGCAACAGCAGGGACTGTTGTGGGGCCCTGCCACATTAAAAAGATAGCGACATAACATGCGTCATAAAATTCACGAAGCTCGCTATTATTAATACCGTAGCGCGGTCACCGATTAAGAGATTTTCCTTAGGATGCTGAAAGTGAAGAAATGTATCGATATTTATAAAAGTATCACTATCGACCTCGATATATCGAAGACAAAGTATCGATATAACAATATATCGAAAACAAATTATCGATATAACAATATATCGATATTTTCTTTTTGGGCCCTGTCGTCCAAAAAAAACGTATGCCAAGTATTAAATATTTCAATGTATGGACTCTTTCCGGATTCGAATTTGAAAAAAATATCGTTTTTGATACGATTTCGATATTGAATATTTTATATCGATATATGGGCTAAAAATATTGATATATTTTATAAAAAATATCGATATTTTTTTCGGCATCCCTAGATTTTCCGAATTGCCTCGTAGTCTATGTCTTTATTAGTGTTGTTATAATATTTAATCGTATCCTTATTGATAACTAGTACATTAGCTATGTAAATATTTTAAGTTGAAATAAAACGTGTTTTTGAATAAATAGCCATTACGAGTTAACGGCATTTACGATTAATATATGCGTGTCTACTGGCTGTATTGTGTATTTACGGTACTTATCTGATATTTTAATAGTAAAATAAAATAATTTAAATACTTTATACAGTTACATACATCTTTATTTTTAGTTATTTGAATCTTTATTTATATTGAACCAACATTTTCGTTTCTTCGTATTTAAGAATTTTAATAATAATATTAAAATTCTTATACTCGTATGTCTAAAAAATGTCTTTTTACTGGTTACATAATGATGACATAATTTTTTCGATTATTTGATTTTTATTAAGTACTTATAAATACTTTTATTGTACATTTATACTTTTATTGTATACTTTAAAATCAAACAAACTGTTTCAAATAGATTTACAGTAGCGGGCACTTTGAAATCTGTGTGGAAACAGAGAATGCGTGATGGATTGGCACATTTTGGGGTTATTGACTTTTCATGAATCTAAAAAGGTTCGCGTGTATTTACTGAAATGTGATTCTTTTAAGGATCCTGGAAAATGTACTTAATAAGGTAAATTATGTGCCACAGGTTTGTGTAAGCGTTATGATGATATTTCAACGTATCACTACATAGTTATAATTACTATATATTTATAAATATATATGCTATATATGTTCATATTTATTTATTATTATAGAGTAGATATAAATATTAAGGCAAAGTTTAAAAGTTTTTACATTATGTAAGTATTTGCATTTTTGATATTATTAATTAGTGTTTATGATCTTTTTTAGCTTATTGCACCTACCACGATCTCTCTCCACGCCCCGGGTTGACTGGGAGAGAATGCCCAAATGGCATTAAGTCCGCCCTTTGTAATCCTTTTTTTAAGGTTTTGCAATAAAGCATAAATAAATAAGTAAATAGTATAAGACGAAGTCGTCCCGCTGTCTGTCTGTCCCTATGTATGCTTAGATTTTTAAAACTACGCAAAGGATCTTGATGCGGTATTTTTTACTAGATAGAGTGATTCAAGAGGAAGGCTTATATGTATAATCCATTGCATCTGTGCGGACCCGGGGCGGGTCGCTAAAATTCTATAAAATAATCTAGTAAAAGCACCATAGTTTATTTTTCGAAAATCTGCGTACAGATTGCCTATTGATATGTATTGTCATAGCAAAAGGGCTTACTATGGGCGCAAACAGGTTTAGATTCCATGCATGACAATCCGTTCCTGGAGGACTGCTAGACGTGGAGCATACTTCCCTAATAACAATTAACGTACACTGATGATAACATATTAGTAATGTTGACTATTATCAGATTCCCTACCCCATCAGAAGCAAGCAGCTTAAGAGTCAATTTATATCTGCCAATAAAACGCGAAAACAATTAGTACAGTCGTTATTATGACTCATAAATAACACGTCCAGACGGCACTTGAACTCGATAGGACATCCGTCGTGCGCTATCTCCGATGGCGGTGCGACGACCCGCGCTTATTTGCCAAGTCCACACCCGCCAAAACACACTGAGTTCTCCGACCCTTTGACATTGAGAGCATCCTTCGCACGCTAGCCTGAAAGGACCTTTCAACGTGCTAAATTCACAAGTATCACATGTCAGTTTAAAAAAAAACACGAATTTAAATGACATTAAATGCTTGTAATCAAAAGTGTTAGTGTAAATACCGGGTCTTATGGGAGATTGTTGGTTTTGCTATATAAGGTATACTGGCTCTTGTCCTATGATTTGGTCTAGCGAATTCCGTTCATTTAGTATTTTATTGCTGAAGTCTTGTATTACATTACATAAATTTACAACTGTTTTAATGATTTGATTCGGCTTTTGGGTGCATAAAGTTTGAACATTCCTTTTCATTGACGCTGGCTAATCGATAAAAATACACTTTTCCTTAGAATCGCAAGAAATTGTTTACGAAGGAAAACGGTCTGAGATAATTGGTAGATTTTCAGATTCAGTGTGATATTTTACAACCAACTTACAGTGGAGGTTTCCGTAGGTCTTCATCTTGTTTATTTCCGGAGATCGACAAGGAAATTGACTAGGGTAGGGCGGTCTTAGCTTCCAGTTAAAGACTAGCCGTGGTCTGTAATCAGGTAAAACGCCGACTCGCTTACCATATCTCATAAAGAATATTTTAAACACTGAATACTATTTTATCATAGTTTCTTCATAATATGTTCATAATTAGCCTACGTCTGCTCACAGTTTGATACAGGCAAGGGCTCCTCATTGACCCAATCTTTGTTTAAAAGAAGATCTTTTGTACCTGGATTCTTCAATTTAGCTATTGTCAATTTCGTACTCTACAACCTCCTATTAAGTTATAGAGTGATCCGTTCCAGAGAGATTAATGTAAATGTCTCCAAAACCAGTACTCAAAGCGCCGAAACCTGTAAATTAATTCTAATATATTTAATTTTAAACTGCTTTCTCCATCTTGATTAATACAGCTTTCACGATCGAATACGCCTAAATCTTCTTAAATCATTCCACGTTTAAAATAATACATACAAAAAGGAATCGATGATGACATGACGAAATGGCAGTGATGCAACGTTGAACTCAAATAATTAATGCGCTAGATGCAGGTACCAATGACCTGTGATGTACGGACGGTCAAACATAATGACCGTTCAAAGCTGCTAATGTGATGTTTGATCAACGCCTGATAAAGTTATACGTGGAATTATCTGACTAAACACTTAATACAGAGATCGAATGACGATCCGTGGCATAGTGGATATTTAACCTGCCTTATGTGACAGAGTTGGTGGATTCGATCCGTTCTACTGGAAAATTTTTGTGTGAAGAACATGATCTGTATCAACTGTGGGGATTTGTACATATATGATATGATTTTATTTACATAAGAAAAGTTGGAAGTGTATATTTAAACATATTTATCAGTTACCTAATACCCATAGTACAAGCTCTGCTGAATTTAGGAAATATCTAAATATCATCATTGGATAAATGTAATAACTCACAACTTTTCTTTGTTATAACGGACTTGTGGTTACAGAGTCGTCAGCACACAAGCCGTTAAAAATCTTCACGTTTATACTACAGTATGAGCACGATGTACCTACTAGCTTGTATCAATAGGTTGGATTGACTGGGGTATAACAGCGTGACAGAAATACGGCTTGAAGTACATTAAAAGTTTTGAGTTTCGCTTCTTAGTGAGGTAACCGTAGACGCCATCATCTAGCCGTTTTCGACTACAGCGACTGTTTTTCATGTTGAGAACGTCGCTGATGCGCTCTCAGGTGACTGACATAGCCGATTTTTACAGTAATGTGGAACCAAACTCGCCACAAGTCACTACCCCTCCGATATAATTATAATAAATAGCTGTAGAGTTGTGTTGTTAGTAACACAGTTGTACAGTAGACATACTCAAACGTTGACAAAACGCACTTCTCACACACACAAAAACACAAAACATCTCTGTGTCTATGGACAGTGGTTATCGTATACCATTAGATGAGAAAGTACTAACCCTTGGGTAAAAGCTTTAGAAAAGTTCAAATGTTACATGGACGCTCCCATCTTCAGGCTGAAAGATATCGCGAGAGACGACGCCTGGCGACGCCCAGCCCGACGCCGTCGCCACCACGTCGGCAGCCGGCGCCGCAACCCACTAACGGTAGCTGGTTCAAGTCCCTAGACAGGCTTGGCAAGAAACGGGAGAAGAGCATCAACAATAGGGTGTGTATTTCACTACCTTTCATTGCCGCGTAAAAGAGTGTGATGTTAGAATAGTCTTATCCTTCTCTTGATATTGGAAGGTGAACCAACGATAAGTTTAATATTTTCGGGATCATTAGATGTCCTTCAATACATATAACAGTGAGTTATAAAATTCCAATGCCATATTACTGTGACGTCGTTTAAAATGTTAGTGACACGGATTTTTTGGCAAAAAGAAATATGGTATCATAAACCACTAGAGTATACTATGGTCAAATGTATTAAGTCGTTTTACGAAATTGAGCTCATGAGGTAAATAAATATGAAATCAAACATCAATCAAATCAGAATATGATGTGCTCATACAAATTTAACCTTGCTACCTAAGGATTGTATTAATTGTAGTTTAAAAGTATCTTCTTTTTTTTTATTTCACAAATTTGAAGACAATTTTAAAATCGTTAAGCGCTCTCCTAAAAGACAAGGGCAACGTATCACATGGTTAGAAGCCAAGAAATGTAATTTCATCATCAACTCTTTTCTGAATAACGTTCATGATTTCAGGTTGAGAAAGACAGCGTGATCACGACGGAGGACGAGTCCTCGCGCCGGGTGTGGTCGAAGCCGTCCAAGCCGCTCAACTCGCCGGCCAAGAACCTCCGGTTCTTCGGCGACACCGACCACGAGTCTGACGGCAACGCGAAGCACGCCGTCACCAAGACCAAAAGCCACCCGCAGCCCAAACGGCACGGCACCCTGAGGAAGACCATATCCAACTCCAGCACGGGCCTTGACGAGGTCGACCACAGCGAGCTCTCGAACAAGAGCTACTCGATGTCGAACCTATACAGGGACGAGGCGAACGATTCGCCGCGAACGAGGCAGCACTACAGGAGGAACCTGCAGAACATATCGGAGATACAGAGCAACTCGGAGACGGAGAGCCAGTTCGACAGGAGGGCGAGCGCGAAGCCGCCGATTAGCCCCTACGACAGGTCCAGGAGTCACAGCAGCTCGAAGACCCTGAAGGCCGGTAAAAGCGACATCAAGAGGATCGGCAGAGGTGACGACAGGGGTAGCTCTTCAGAACTAAGGGGCAGTAAACACGAACTGAGCAGGGATGTGAAGTAAGTTTCCGTCCGATTCATACCTTTTCTATTATTTGAACTTACATTAACTTCAGAATATAATGTGTAGAGACATGTTTCATTTAGAACTACAATCCTGATATTGTATACAAGTACGAGGTAGACATAACACTAGTGCACCAAAAGTTATGTACTAAAATTACGCCTTTTGTTGTAATAAATCTCAATTCTATAGACTACTGTCTCTTTACGTATCATACGTTATTTATCATCAGTCACATTTACTTATATATGTCATGAAATGTAAAGCGGAACAACTTTTAAAATCCGCGAAGTATGGATGCGTCATCTTTATTGAAAGATCATTGATTAAAACGTCAAAAAAATATCATTCTTAAAATTATAAATGTTACTTTACAGAGAGACAGATTTTAGTAGCCATTATGTAAGAATTCATTAAGTAAATAACTGAGTGACTAATAATAATGACATCGTCCTACCAGACATCGACGTCGCACTCCGCTAACGAACTCTGGGGAGAGCAGCACGGAAGGTGACTCCAGCCATCAGAGCCAACGCAGTGTGGTCTACTTGCATGCGACTACTGGTAAGTAGCTTTATATTTAAAGACGAGACTGCTTATCAGATAAAAGCAGCAACTGTTCTTCAGGCAAGCGTCCTTACAACAAACAATAATTTTATCCTAAAGTAAGGGCAATGTTATTTTTTTTAATTAAAAAGAAAACTTTAAAAATAATATTTAATAATGTTATTCAATAATATAATAAGCAATAATTCAAGAATTTGTTTTGACTTACCACGTCAAAATTATTTTACTGCCGTCACTAATTATCGTGTGTGATTCAGTCCAATTCGATGATATGTCTAAAGGCGGATGAAATCAAAATTTTTCATGGATTTAATTAAATCCTTGCACATGTCCGCGGAAATGCCATGATCGCACAGAAGACCTTTGTTGAATAGAAATAGACTTACTACTTCATAAAGGTCTTCTGTGATTTCACTTCTAAGTTTCGCCAGGTGAGTGAGTAACAGGGGCCTACTACTTTAAAGGTAACGCGTCTGCAACAGATGTCATATAACATTTAAAAAAATTATAGTTTACTCTGTGTTATAATGCAATATTTATTCGTATTCAAATTAAGTAATCCTGTAGCGATAACTTATTAAACTTTGGGGTTTAAAGAGATATAAAACTGTAGGCATTCATTTCTATGTGAAAGAGTTTCTTTCATTTGCGCAACGTAATTTTTATTCCATAAAAATTTTGCATGTGTATAGCGCAGAATAATTTTGTTCGAATTTGTGTTGCCGTAACAATGGGCCGTTATCGTTAACTTTGGGGTTAAATAGGTTCAAACACTCCTTATCTTTATTTTAGATCTGGCATTATAGTACGTTCGTGGGATCCTTTTATGTTTTTATTTATATATTAGCACGAACACGCTTAAACAGCCGCCGATAATTAGTAATTATAACGGCAAAACGTCAACTGCGATCCAACTTCAAAAAACCAAGTGCCAAGTGCGAGTCGGACTCACATAAAAAGGTTACCGTACCATTATCTATAAAAACGGCAAAAAAATCATGTCTGTTGTATGGGAGCCCCACTTAAATATTTTTTATTCTGCTTTTTACTATTTATTCTTATAGCGGCAATAGAAATAAATACATTATCTGTGACAATTTCAAGTGTTTAACTATCACGGTTCATGAGATACAGCCTGGTTACAGACGGACAGACAGACAGATAGACTCCGTTTTACCCTTTGGGTACGAAACCCTAATAAACTGTAATACCGTAAGGAAAATTAGGTACGACGCACGCACTATTCCGTTAACTAATTTTTTTACCTATTCTAGTCTGAACAACGAAAAAGTCACTTTTGATAAAGCTTTTCCTTCAACTTATATTCCATCCTAATTTCACTATTTCGTTTCGCCTAATATAATTTTGTATTTCACATATTTCGTGCCATAATATGTGTGTTTTAACTGTGGTAGGGCCACGCAAGTTTCGTCTGTTGCACGAATGGGCAGGTCCGTCCGGGTATGTACCACGACCTCACAGAACACCGGCATAAAGTGGAAGTGTTATACTTCTACGTTTCGTCCGGTGGGTGAGGTAGACGGGGCTCACTTTATTAATTAGTGGCAACGCATCTGTAACCCTGGCGGTTTTTCAAATGTCAATGGGTCAGCTCGCTTGCTCTAAACATCGTCTTTTAATTAAGAAGTAATTAATAATGTTCCAACTAAATGTAATAATTCTCGTTCACAGTCGGCGACATCCCGGATCCGGGCAAGCTGACGCGCAACCGCTCGAGGGACGACGTCTCCTCCGTCATGTCATCCAACATCCAGGTGAGGAGCACCACGAAGAGCTTCTCTCTGTTCGCGCCCTGGACGCCGCGGCACCACGGCGAGCGGGACGTGCACTACGCGCAGAAGCCGAAGAGCAAACAGAAGGAGAGCGTGTTCAAGAAGGAGAGGAAAGTGACCGAAGAGCGGCCCTCGCTGCAGAAGAACAAGTCGCACAGCCAGACGACGCTGAGCCGGCCGCAGAGCCGGAGCCGCTTGACCAACTCGAGCTCAACGCTGTACCGCAGAGACAAAAGAGGCGGGAAAGAGAGCGCAAGCGAAAGCACCATCTCGCGCAGGGCGAACGGCAAGAAGAGCCAGTCGAGCGAGATACTGAACAGAGAGGAAAGAGAGAGGCTGTCCCGCTCGATCTCGATGCCGAAGGACCAAAACAAGAAGGCCGGATGGTTCAAGCTGTCGAGTAAAAATAAAAAGACCGATGTGAATACGCGCGTCCGTTAATAACCGAATACTAACTTTACAGGATGTAATGTAACTTTTTTATCGATTCGTTTCATGTGGCCAGTTTTAAATGTTTATAACACTTTTTTTGTCTTCGAAATTGCATTTTAATGTGAAATTTCCTGGCACAGATTATAAAAATATCTCTGGAAAAATTTTCACAAATTAAGTTAAATTATTTACAATACAGACAGACGGTCTAGTCTGTTTACTTTACAACAGAGATTTATTAATTTTAACAACTTTGTAGCGTACGGCCATGTGTTATGAGCGTGAAATGGTGTTTTCTTTTTAACTTAATGTAGATAAAATAACCCAAATGACACAAACTCTTATTCAAAACAAAATAGATTACAATATATTTTATTATCTGATGAGAGACAACGCTTTGGTGTACTATAATGTAGTACCATTGTCTCAGCGAATAGGAAGATTTAAAGGAACTAAATATTCATGATGTCCCAATTATATTTTGGTTTTTGATTTTGATAAAACATCACTTCTTAATCATGATTTCATAAACACTTGTTCGATCGCTAATTTAATTTTTTTAATAGATTTAGAAAAGCGAAAATTTAACGACTAACACGTGCAAACAAGTAATTGATGATAGGCCACTATTTTTTCGTTTGAAAAAACATTGCGTTATCGTCGTGAGAAAATATTTTTCAATTTTTCTTTACAGACTAAAAATGAGCTGTAAATTAATTACAATCGTAATATTTACCATAGTTTAATATCAATTGATGACAACGAACGTATACAATATTTGAACTTGCTATTAATCACAATTTTAGCGATTTTGATACATACACGATTTTGCTAGATGTTATATAAGGCATTGACCTGACTATAATATTTTACGAGGAAGATTAGCCTCTACTGTATTTTTTCATAGTTATGTACCAGCTAGAAATATCCTTTTTATGGATTATACAGTAAAATGAAATATAAAAATTGAAGATAATTCTTAAAGGTATCGAGTGCCATCCGTGAATTGTTCTTAACAAATGTTACCATTTTTTAGAGATTTTAGTCATTTTTCTTTTGTCTATTGTAACAAATATGCTTCTAATAACTAATAAGAAAACATTGGTTTTACTTGAATAATTTTATCTGTGCATATAATATAATTTCGCTTATAAGATCTCCGTGTATCAGATTTAAAATAATGTTTTATAAGGATTTAAGTGTTGTTTGGTGTCGATTGTAATAATAAATAATTATAAATAAATCACCTAATTTTATGGCTTGTCTTTTATTCAAACAGTTTTCGTTTCAAAATAAATCCACCTATGTTGTGTAATATGCAACACCCACGGCGTTTTTGTAATCTATTATTCGTTGTAAGCATTGTCATCGGGTTCTATCTGTGGTCGATAACCGTACCTCAAAGCAAGTAAACGTAGTGGTTACATTCTCTTTGCCTCAAAGATCGTTATTAACATGACTAATTTGAATGTATTTTGAATTATGATATTATGTTTACAATACAAGCAAAAAGGAACTAAAAATTATGTAAGTAAAAGTAAAAAGCAAATAACAGTGTGTAAATATTAATAAATCAAATCAAATGAAGAACGTTCAAATCAAATGAAGAGTTCTTCATTCCAATAATAATTTTACTAAAATATAAAACTCACTAAGAAAATCCTTTCCTCGCAGTAATTTTTAACAATTTTTATCAGAATGTATATTGTTCCAAAGTTAAAATTACAAAATTAAGCGCTATTCTTGACTTAGACTCCTCTGCAAATGACAAATATATTAATATTGAGAAAAAAAAATCAACAATAATAGGGAGTTCAGTTCTCGAGACAAACAAGCACGCGCCTATGGAGGAAAATTAGCAATCACTATCACTCTGTAAATAATTTGATAGTATGCTGAAGATGTACCGTTGACTTTCATTATGAAGTAAGTCTCTTCTTTCAAAGTTATTGAAGCTATTGACGGTAAAACTACTAAGAACTACTCTAACTCTAGCTTAGTAAAAGCCATATTGGTGTGAACACAGTGTTCTACATACATATACAACTCACGCATATACAACTTCACGTTTTATTCACCGGTATTTGTGGACAAAATAATTAATTGGTTTCAACCAAGAATCGAAGATACGAGTTCTAAAACATCATGTTGTAGCTGCTCTAATACCTTCAGAAAGAGTAGCCGGGAACACAAAAATAATAGAGTTGTGATATGGTTGGTTATTATAGTACATTTAAGTTTCATTTTTACTCAGGAAGTTTAAGATAACTGTCCAAAAGTCTACGCCGTGATTTTTTCGAAACTTCGATACTTTAAAAATAAAATAAAACGCGATTAAAACCGGTAAAGTTTAAAGTAATGATTCAAATATAAATATTTACATATACATTAGAAGTTTACAATTGCTATACTACATAATTGCACCTTAAATCGCTAATTATTACCACCTACATAATTATTTATGGTGTTTATATTTATACGATGATGCTAAGTTTTTATGAGATGCTATTAAAATATAAATTATTACCATATTGTACGATAAATATTGTTAAAATAACATAGTTGCAAGACAGCTTAAGATATGGGAGCATTAATATTATCGTACGTGAAACGCGATAATTCTGAATAAAGGTGTGTCATTGAAATAAATTAAAAACAACTATGCGTGAACTGATGTAATTTTTCTAGATAGTGCCAATGTGTCTGCCAACTTTTCGGTAGACTTCCATGTGTCTTCTTCGATGATAACTGGAGCCCACTGTCTTGAAGGTTTGGCATAACTTCCGAGTCTTGCCGAAGTATACTTGGAGGGCTAATGAGCCATAATATCTCTCAATATTGCAGTAAAATAAAAATGGAAAGATAAAACAAAAAATAAAACCAAAATAATTTATTTACATTTTTTTTTATTTTATATAAATCAGTCTTCACGTAATGAGAAATCGAGAGAGCTAACCGCTACGAAAACTGCAAAGCAAACTGTAGTAACACATACCGCGCTATACCCAAGTCAAGGATGCCTACAACTCACATTTCTCCTTCGTACATTGCTCCTTCGCAGTTTCCTTGGGCTCCATCCTCGCCGGTCCCGTTTTCGTGATCGGCACGACCCTCTCCCCCTTCGCGTCGACCTCCTTCCTCGGGGCGCTTATGGTGAGGATGCCGTCGCTGGAGAGTTCAGACACCACATCCTCAGACTCCGCGCCCTCCGGCAGCGCGTACCTCCGCACGAACTGCCTCGACACGAAACCGTGGGCGTCCTGTTTCTCTTCATGCTTCGCCTCCACCACAACGTAGCCGTCCGCCGTCTTCACCGTGATCTCCTCCGGCCCAAAGTGTTGAACATCCAGGTTGATCTGGAACTTGTCCTTGTCCGCCTTTATTGTGGAGCCGAGGTCGCGCGTCAGCGACTCCATGTAGCGCCACGGCCTGAAATAATCCCGAAACATCCACGGACCCATCATCGATGTCAATATGTCGTTCGCGGTCAGCGGCAAACCGAACTCCTGGTCCACCATCGTGCTGTCTTTTTGTGAACATTTCTCGTCGCCATACACGCCGGCCGCCGTAATAACGAACAACACGAACAGACTGCCCAACATCTTCATTTTGTAATACTCTCTTCGATTATACACCGTTTGCAGCGTAGAGCCGAATTGAAAGCACGCGATGCAATTTCCAACTGCACTTAAACAACAACTAACGCCCGATTGACGGCGCCCCTCTTTATATACAACTCCGACATCTAGCGGGCAGTAGCATTTTCTCGAAACACTGACGTGGTTATCGCACACGGGCAGAAATGGGCCACGTAAATATTCGCGCCGTTTCCAGATATTTCTATCACAATATTAACCTTTAAAACAACATTTTCTTATAGTTTTAGAGACTACAATGTAAATGATTTACATTGTTTTTAAATCATTGATTGATTTTAAATAATAACGACATCTAGTGACAAAGTACAACGTATAGCTATAGGTTTTTATGTGAAAAATTTTCTTCTCGTACTTACTAGAAAGGTCTAGTCATGTACATTGCCCTCTCTAATGATAGATGTTTTTGGGATAACACTAAGAGTATTAATAACTTAATATTATAATGAAGGTGGGACATACTTTTTTTCTATAAATTTTTAAAACATTAGTAAATATGTACGTTATTGAATTGAGCATTATTTAATACCGTGATCACCAATTAATTGATTTTGTCACGATTTAAGGAAAACTGGAAAAACAGCAACAATGAATTGGGCATATTATCTATTTATAATGTTATTTTTTTACTGACAATATAACTTCATTTTGATTTTGAATTATATGACTGTTCGGAAACTTATCAAAAAACAAGAAATATCAAATAAAATTAATCTATATGTTTTTTCTAATATTATAATATACAAAATAAAATATATTCAATATTAGGTAATACCAAAAAACATTTCTACATTGGTTTGTTCTCATTATCATTAAAGTACCACTTGGTCACCCTAATTCAGAAAGCACAGAGAACTAAGCCTTTGCATAACAAAACCATGTTGTACAACTTTATATTTTAGTTTCAATATTTTATTAGAATAAAATATAATGACCGACCGAAGGATGACTGCGCAAAAAAAATCTAGTTTCAGTTTCGATAAAAAATTGGCTGTAACTTTCGACCGTACCGAAATTCAGTATTCATGAATTATTGTAATCTTTTGATTATTGATTAGATTATAACGTACACTGATTATTTTGATAACTAGGTAAAACCAAAGGGCTAATTACAAGTTCTCAATAATAAACATTAAACTAACTGACTTAAGAATATTATGAACACAATAATTAAAAAAATATTCAATAGAGATACTGTAGTCTATTGTTTTGCTTTTCTACTTAACACTATGTGGGCCTGTCTCTGTGAATAAGCAAATCAATATTAAAAGTAAATACACTAGTTTTATGATTAAACAGAATTTTTATGTGTATAAATAAAATTTTGTTTCGGATTCGGTATCGGCTACCACCACAAGTCCCGGGCGAAAGTTCGGTTTAGATTTCGGCTGAAACACCTGTTTTGGTCGGACACAAAAAATTACTAAAGTGGAAAATACAAAACAAACCCATGTCTCGACACAAAAACAAAAAAAGCATATTTCAGACATTAAGCCTGTAATTTCATTACAAATTTTAATAATGAGATTTTTAGTATTTTTTTTTAATGGAAATAGGACACAAACGATCAAGCGGGTCACCTGATAATAAGCGACCACCGCCGCCCATAGACATTCGGCATTCGTATAACATCCAGAATCCTTTGGCCCTCCGTGGACTGCGGACGCTTTGCCAACTTTCTCAGTTTGCCTACCTTTCGATGAGTTAGTACAATCATTCTCCTTTTGGGTAATTTTTGTTGTATTCATACTAGTAGTTACCATGTTGCCAACTTTCTCAGTTTGTCAACTTTTAAAATTTTTCATGTTAATAACTTCATTTTGCCCACAAATGAATTTATTGCTAAAAAGTGTCTCATATCGCCAATCTTTTCTACAATCGATAACAAAAGCAGTTTCGCTTTGGTATTGTCTCTTTTAATAATTAAGACATCTGACCTCTATTTTCTGACTGAATAATTAAAAACTGATAATTTTCTCTTATAATTTTATTTTAAACTAAATTCCGTATTTTTTTATATAAATTGTGATTATAATCATTTTTTTGTTACTGAATGGCTATGATTTGTATTTACGAACCAATGAGTGAAAAAATACCATCAGAAAACTGGTATTTTCGATTGAACATAGCGATTGCGTACACGGATCCAGAAATTCGCGTATTTTAAAAAAAGACATAGTTGCACATGAAAGAATAACAACAACAACAATATTTGTTAGGAGAATAATATGTTTATTTAGTTTAGTGTACCAATATTTTTAATGTGAGAAAATGGTGCGCTAGCGACTCACCTGATGCGATAATCGCTACCCATTGACATTTGTAAATGCTTAGCCACCTTTTAATAAACTGGGCCCCGACTACCGCACTCACCAGACGAAACAAAGAAATATAACACTTTCACTTCACGCCGGTCTTCTGTAAAGTCTCGGTACTTACCCGGACGGACCTGCCCATTGATGCATTAGTGAAGACTGTTGCGTGGCCATACCACATCTATAAAACATTTCTTTATTACGCAAAAATATCCAAAGTCAAATATTTAGGTGTCGTCCTAGATTCACAACTCAAATTCAGCCAGAACATGACTCGGGTTAAGAACCGGGCGGCCTTCGTACTCGGTCGCCTCTATCCGCTCCTCAACCACACGTCTAAAATGTCCCTTCGGAACAAGGTGACCTTATATAAGGCAGTACTTCGCCCTATTATGACGTACGCGAGTCCCGTCTTCGCTCACATTGCTCCGAAGCAAATACACCGGCTTCAAGTCATTCAAAATCGATTCTTGCGCAGAGCCACGGGAGCACCCTGGTTCATGCGCAATATCGACCTACATATTGATATAGAGCTACCCACCATCGCTCAATTCCTGAAGTCGGCGTCGCGCCGATATTTCGATTCCGCTGCCGCGCATCCCAATCCGCTAATCGTAGGTGCCGCCACCTACAGACCCATGCCGCTAGGTAAATTCCGCCGCAATCACCGTAGACCGCGACACGTTCTTGACCTTCCCGACGATGAGACGACTATCGCCATCGAAAGGAACAAAAAACTTAAGAAACAGACCAACACACAACGCACTCGCCGGCGAGTGCGGCAAACATATACTAGGTTCCGCCACGTACCTGGCAAGTTCTGCCCCATTAATGATAGAAGCGTTGCTGGAGTTTCTTCCGCCACTTCTTCTCCCAGCGCCAACGCTTTACGAAGTGGTAGTAACGATATCTCTAGAGATCCCCCCAGTCAGTTAACAGCTACCGATCGAGCCGAGGTCCGGCCCTCTCGGGCACCCTCGAATCGGAATGCTAAACGCGTGTTGAGTGACAGCCCAAGCCGAGGTCCCCTCTCGGGGACCCTTGAGCCTGATCACTCCATGGAGCGTCCGTCAAAGCGCCCTAAGAGCTTGGCGGCCTCCCAAACCGGTGAAACTAATAGCGTGACGGCCCGAGCCGAGGTTCCCTCGGGAGCCCTCGAGCTTAGTCACCATAACGCGTAACAATAATACGCGAGGTTCAGGCTAGGCGCCTCGAGCGCCCGGCCCCCTCAAGCCCGTTGGAACTGTAAAGGCCCCTAAGGCCAACAGTGGCTCATCCAGCCAAAAAAAAAAAAAGCAAAAATATTATTCCTTAATTCACATTCATATAATTATTTTCATATAAATTTTTATTTCACATTTATTTCTGAATGTCCAATGGTTGGCAAAGTGAGAAATTTGTTACGTTGTTTAAAAAAACATGGGCAAAAAATGAATACAAATAGAAAAATATATTAAAGTTGGCGACATGGTAACTACTAGTATGAATATATGAAAAATTACCCAAAATGGGAATGATTGTACTAACTGTTCAAAAGGTAGGCAAACTGAGAAAGTTGGCAAAGCGTCCGCAGACCCTCCGTGGCATATGTTGGGTGTTTCTTTTAGCAGCTAGTGCATTCGATATAGCACGGGCAAGAATTTTTATGGCCTACAGATAATTGCTCCTGATTTATTATAGAAAAAATCATATTATGCTTACGTGGTATAATTTGTTTGTGAACCGGCTTTAAATTTAATATGGAAGAAACATCCAAGATACAGGACAGAACAGGCAAGAGGCGATCTGAAAAGAGGAAAAAGTTTAATTTACGAACTAAAAAGAAAGTATTATAAGTATATATAGTATTTTAGGTTGAAATTAATAAAAAGTAAAAGTACAGACAAAATGGTAATATAAAAAACAACGATATAGAGGAATGACAAACTAAACAAATGGCAACATTAATTCCTAAATGAAAAAAATAAAGTTAACGTAACGTCACCTAATCAAACGTCATCCTCAACAGATGAGCAGAGGCAGACACATTGACAGTTAGGCATGAGATATACCTGCAACATTCTATACCCGGCCTCAAAGGTACGGGTATCGCCGTATACCCGGTGCAAAAACCCAGTATCAAAATACCTATAGGTATTAGTTATGTTCAGGCCTCCTTTTGGAGACTCGGTCGAATCAAACGAATTAAAACTTTGGTGGGAATTTGAACATTTAGATGTTTTTTTAGCAATCAGTTTTTTTAAATTGAGATTTAATCAGTCTAAAATAAGCTCCATCTTTACTAACGTAAAGAACCCTATTATCAAAAAAGTAATTCAAAATAAATATTACTGTTTAACCTTATTACGCAATCATTTATCTACCTAATTGTCATGGAAATAAATAATAACTTTATCTCAAGGAATTATTTGGTATAAAATGCCTAAATCATACGTTTCAATTCGGGCATGATCGGGAAGAGCCGCCGTAAGCGTTCGGGGAACGTCGTACCTATTCGGCCGGCGGGTTGTCGCGAGCGTTATATACCGCCACCGTCGGACGAGGCGGCCATACCCATCCATACCCACAGAGTACTTTTGTATATAGGGAAATGTATGTCCATACCTATCGGGTATGGAACGGGCCTCTGCCATACAT